AGTTGTTTTGAAAATTCCTTTGTAGTAGTTTCAGCCAAAGATAGGGTTCGCCTCTGTGAGCTTTGCGTTTTATAGACCGAATTTTATTTATTTCGTTTTCAAATCGAATCGCGTCTTCATTTTCTAAATTACCAGTTATCGCCTTCACTATAGAACCTAGTCCATTTATAATACCACGCCTAAATCTAATCCTAGGTGCAATAAAAATTATTTTCTTATTAATTAAATCTAACTTATGTTCTATCTGATCCCTATATGTTTTATGTAATTCTTCTGAAGTACTGTTACTTTCAGTTGCCTTAAGACTTGCGTATAATGCCATTAATTTTATCGATATTAGATTCAAGTGCGTAACATTATAAACACAAGCAAGGTTGAAGGAATCAGTCTGTTTCAGAATATGACCCTGTCTAAGTAATAGAACTCCGTTCGTATTGTCTACGGGTTGAAATGTTACGTCGGATCTTGCCTGGAACACAAAGGCTCCGATGATGGTTGTCCTGGAATAAGATGGGGTCTTCGTAGAAGCTTGAAATGTACCCGAATAGACTTAGAATTAGGATGATTCCCTACTATTTCTGCTACATTATTAGGATGTAAATGAATAATCTTATACGGTCCTTTAAATACCGGTTTAGTTTTGTCGTTTCTCGCTGTTTTGGCAACCTACTTATAAACTGTTTCACCTACCTTGAATGTTATCTCCTCTGCTGCCTGGTTTCTTTTTTTTTTGACACACATTCCTGGACGGCTTCTGCATGCATTTTGTGCTTAATAATATAGTCCTGGTAAAACTGCTTAGGAAAATGTAACTCTAGTAGATTTCTAGAAGCTGTATGTCCAAATAGTAACTCGTGTGGAGTATATTCTGTTGCCGAATGGATTGAGTTATTGTAAGCGATGACTGAAAATTTCATAATTAATTGTATGGGATCATCTTTGTTTGTCATTCGTTGGATTCTGATAATCTCTCCTATAGTCGAATGAAAGCGTTCTATGGGTGAATTCGAATTTGGATTGTATGGAGTCGTAAAGTGAATGTTAATACCATGTAAAGCGTACATCTCCTTTATAACTTCATTGTCAAATTTACTGTCTGAATCCGTTGTAATTTTATAAGGAATTCCTAAAACTGAGAACATATGAAATAAAGCTTCAGCTATATGTACACTACTAGTGGCGTTCAACGGTATTGCTTGGGTGAACTTTGAGAAATTTTCTATTATAGTGAGGAAGGTGGCACCGCCTGTCGAATACAGATCCATAAATATATGTTGCATAGGTTTTGTAGGCGTTTCCGTTAAGGCTAATGAGGGTCTAAGAGGGTTCCTTTCATATTTAGCTTGTAAACACATACTACATTGATTTATGAATGTCTGGATTGTAAGTAGCATGTGAGGCCAATGGTAGTTTCTATGGATTTGCTTGTATGTCTCCTGGATACCACGATGCACAGTTTTGCCTTCATGATATTTTTTAATTATTTCTTTTTGTTCTGTCTTGTTTTCGACAAGGGTAACGCGTGAAATACATCTAAAAAGCTTAGGGCCTCTGTCGTTAAATACCGTCGTGTAAACTCTGGAGAATGCTAGGTACAGTTCTTCACTATAAAAGTAGCAGTAGAATACACGATCAGCAATAGTGTGTTCTTTTACATTACATCTTTTTTTTACATCTCTAATTACTGTTCTAGAGTTAGTAGACCTATTTTCTACTCTGTATGTTGATCCTGGAGTTGACCTGATATGGAGTTGTTTTAGTTGTCTGTCGATCGCGTCTGATAAGATTGGTGTGCCGTTGTTTTCGTTGTCGGGTTGCGTATGGTTTGTCGATGTTTGTGTACTGCAAGATAGGTGCATTGGTTAAAATCTGTTTGCAATTATTGAAGGACTCCAAAAATTCCGAGGAGTGTATAACTTTAGTATTTTTCTTAAGACATAAGGTCATTGGTTTCGTAAGCTTTGCAAAGTCTTTTATGTACTTTCTGTAGTAGCCTACTAGTCCTAAAAGGCTTTTAATTTCTTTCTGTGTTTTTGGTAGAGAGAAGTTTAAAACCGCTTTAATTTTGTCCTGATTAGGTTTTAGTCCTTGATCAGTTAGTTCATGGCCTAAAAATGTGACGTGTTTTTGAAGGATCTCTGACTTGTCTAATTAAATTTTGAGATTATGTGTTTTAAACCTTTCAAATACTTGTTTCAGTTTTTCTATATGCTCCTGCAATGACCTTGATTTTATTATGACGTCATCGAGATAGGTGAAACCTTTAAGGATGTGGTCCATGAGCCGTTGGAAAGTACTGGGTGCATTTTTTAGACCAAATGGCATTCGAAGGAATTCGTAATGTCCTCTCTCTGTTGTGAATACAGTTTTCTCTATGTCATCAGGTTGCATCTTCACCTGATGATAGCCGTTAGCCAGATCTAAGGTCGTAAAATATTGGGTGCGTCCAAGTCTGTCTAAGATATCGTCTATGTTGGGAAGTGGGTACTTATCTTCTACTATTCTATCGTTAAGTCTTCGATAGTCTATGACTAAGCTCCATTTTACCTTACCTAGTGCGTCCGGTTTTTTAGGGACAATATGAACAGGGCATGACCATGGGATCATATACTTTCGCGAATAATACCTTGTTTTAAAAGATTGTCTACTTGATTCTGTATTTCTTTGCGTTGTTGTGGGGCTTGTCTATAACTTCTTACAAATATCGGATCGTTGTCACCTGTGAGGACTAAGATGGAATGCCTCTTTGCCAGTAAAAAGGGTCTCCGGTTCTCTACACTCACCATACGAAACACAGCAGCGTTAAGCTGCTATTTTACGCTGGTTTTCTGTGAGAGCGTGGTCCTTCCCCGGTCGAGCCGACCCATTCGTGCTACAACCATAATATAGCTGCAGCATGGCTCTACCACGTAGAGTATCTTGAGTATCTTAAGTCTTTATTGAGGATAGATCTAGATGTCTATGGGTCACAGTAACCACTTACCATCAAGTGGACTGTGTGCTCGTTTGTCACCCGATCCTATAAAAAAACCGCTTAATCTACTCTTAGACATATAATTGCCGGATGTACCCTGGCAGTATCGTCCAAAAGATTAAGAATATTTTCAATTTCTCTGATATAATGGTTTAATCTCTTTGTATTGCCATCGTACCTTGGTATCGATTCCGCGATCATCTTAAAGTTGGCTGCCTCGCCGTTAGGAAAAGCCATTTTTAAATTAATAATAAAAAAAACACGTTATAATTTAAAATAGTTGGGCAATTTGTGTCTGCCTATTTGCGATTTTAGCTATAAGACGTATACACTACCGGACCTCAACTAAGAGTCTGCAGCGATTTTTACCTGTTAGACTTATATCCTATGATAGCTAATAGGAATCTATAAAGATTTGAGCTAAAAGACGAATACCTAATCTCCTAACTAAATACGAGTATCTATAGCGATTTAGCTTCTAGACAGAATCACATATACTACTTAAAGTAAATACGGAAGGAAATAGAGCAAAGGGAACTTGAAATAGCGAGAGTACTCACAAAAGCACCTTCTGCATCTCCTCACGGGTCTGAGTCAGCTCCACGTGGTCTTTGTCCGTGCCGCCATCGTAGATTCGAAGTCGCGATTTATACGATCGAAACCGTTCAATTGGTCGAAGGTTCTATCAATTGTCGCGAAAGACCGACTGCGCCAGTTACGATATGGCGGCGATCAAAAGACTTTTTAAAAAGAATAAAATTAATTTAATTTCACAAAAGTTACAAAAGTAATAAATTCAATTAATATGTAAAGTTACAAAGAAGTTAAGTTAAGCGTGGATGGTGTCAGACTGTGAGACAGTTCTATTGTTTCCACGGCGATACTTTCCGCAGCGCAAGCATTCCTCATTTGCCCATTGTTCTGTGAAACTGCTATGTCAGCCCGATTCCAGGGTTACGACACGTTAACTGGTGTTATGACATTTTAATAAGCGATACAGAAGAAGATATGGAAAAAATTGGATGTGACTTTTGCACCAAATGGATTTGAGAAGTATAGATATTGTTGGACTAAAATATGAGGCAGCGTTCGGGAAATTACAGCACATCTTCTCGTCAGGTATACCTCAAAACGAGACTATACAACCAGTGCGTGTTGCCAGTGATGACCTATGGAACTGATACGTGGTCCTTCACTGCTGGCCGGATGAGGAAGCTCAAGGTTGCTCAGCGAGCTATGGAGAGGGCTATGCTCGGAGTTTCTCTGCATGATAAACTTAGAAATGAGGATATCCGTAGTAGATCCAGAGTGACCGACATAGCCCAACATATACATAGGGCCGGCTATATAGCTCGAAGAACCGATAACTAATGTGGAAAAAGGTTCTCGAATGGCGGCCTCGCAACGGCAGACGAAGTGTAGGGCGTCCCCCCACTAGATGGAGTGACGACCTTTTAAGATATGCAGGAAGTCGATGGATGCAGTATGAGATGCAGGTGACTCAGGACCGTGTTTTGTGGCATTCCTTGGGGGAGTCCTACGTTCAGCAGTGGACTTGTGAAGGTATGTAATGGAAAGGCTGATGATGATGAAAATATGAGGAAGTACAAAAAAATGATTGTCATATTTAACGACACGAAATTTTATTATAATTTTACAAAAGTTAAGGTTAAGGCACCTTTTATATTGTATCTAATGCAGTGGCCGAAAACTAAAATTCTTGTTGGCCGAAATTTAAAATTTGGGGCCGAAAACTAGCATTTTACATATTTTTCACATCAAAAATTATTATAAAAAAGAGATTTTTCTTGTAGCATCAATGAGTTACAAAAATGAAAGCTACATTATGTAAGCTACAAATTAATATTAACAGCACTAGGCCAGCATAATGGCAATTATTTTTTCTAGTATCTTAAAGTTAACAACTCCACTAAAAGGCCGAAAACCAGCGCAACGACCCTACACGCTCAACCACAAGTAAAGCCCGCTGGACTTCGTGAATTCAAGAACTATAATGTTATTACAGGTGCGTTAAACCACACAGTCCTTGTAGACGACAACGGAATGTTGGGAATGTTGCTCGTAGTGACGTCACAGATTGGAATGAATGTTCTCAGGTTTGTTTTTGTATTTTTTTATAATTAATTAATTATGTATCTTATCTGAGTGTCTGATGCTAGATCGCAATGTTAAAACTATCAACGCCTAAAATTGAAAGTTCAACTTTTCAATTCTTTGCTCTATACGATATAAAGGCGCTATTTGATTTTTTTCTTGTCACCGTTACAAATTAAAATTAAATTTTAATACTGACGAACAAAATTTAGAAATCCCTCTTTATGGACAATATACTATGGATTTTGGGGTTATATTAATGTGATATTAACTAAAACCCTAAAAATACAAATGAAATAATGAATTACTTTGCTTTATAATCTAAATATTTATTGTTCTACGTGCTAGGTTAGAAAAATTGTTAGGTCAAGCCAACCAACGTACAGACTTCATTCAAAGCATATTAACTGACGACCAAGAAACAAATACTTTAAAGGAATCCGCTTCGGAGATGAAAACTTGTACACTGCGCATGGCATCAGAGTTAATTGTTTTTGTAAAGGTAAGGTTTATATATATTGTATTACACATGTGTGACAAAACAATTTTAGAGCTCCCCATATAATAAGTGTAGCCAGACCAAAGATACCTGCAATCAACTGCGTTGTCATCATCATCATCATCATCACCATTACAGTCCTACAGAAGTCCATTGCCACAAAGAACGCTCCTGAGCTACCTGCATCAAGCGACTTACTAGGTCGTCACTCTATCCAGTGGTTTAGGGCTGCCACTCGAGAACTTTCTTCGTTGTTAGGTTGGAGGAATCACGGGATTCATAGCAGTGGGCGTACTACTGGTTGATCGCAGAAATCGGTAAGAGGGTGGAATCGATCCCGCACGGAATAAGTATTTGTATGACCTGAAAATTTTTGTTCCAGGTCTGGATGTTAGTCCATGTGCAATGTATGTATGTTTTGCCTCAATGATACGTGAGAAATTACTTCCATTAGTTAAGTCTGGCCACTTAACTAATGGAAGGTAACTTTGCCATCAGGGGTGTACTGGTACAAAATTACGATTAACACAGAAAATGTAACGTTTTTCGAGATATGCCATTTTTTGGATGATAATACAATAACTAATTGACAGGGTTGACAACCCTTGGTTGTAGCAACTTTCAACCTATATTTTAACAGATTACGACTATTTAAAAGAATAAATTCTGTACTTGACATTCTATGTATGTATGTTTGTATCGATTTTTTAATAGAATATTGGTTATAAACTAGTACACAGTCCTCCTGATGGTAAGTGGATGCTGTGGCCCCTAGACATATACATTTATCCTCGATTAAGAATCAAAATGTAGATGCGTTGTCACCCCTGAGGACTAAGATGGAACTCCTTGTTTGTTTGGAGACCCTTTTTACCGGAGGTTTCCGGTAAAATGGGTCTCCGGTTCTCTACAATCGCCATACGAAACACAGCAGCATGATTCTGTTATTTTACGCTGGTATTCTGTTAGAGCGTGATCCTTCCCCGGGTGAAGCCGACCAATTCGTGCTGCAACCACAATATAGCTGCAGCATGGCTCTACCACGTAAACGCGGCATGGCTTTATTACGTAAACGTAACTATTCTTTTCTAAGTTTGTTTTATTTTTTACCGTGAAACCTGGCAACTTTGCCATTTTTGTAAGGACTTAAAAGTTTAGGACCAATTTTCCAACAAAAAATGTATTGTCAGACTGGGCGTCAATCTTAAATGTACCATTATATTCTTTATAGATTAGGTATTTATTAGTGATTTAGTTTTGCTCGTTTGTCACCCTAATTCTATATATAAAAAGTTATTTCTGAGGCCAGTATTTCCCAAGCCTCTCCCTATTTCAACGTCGGACTTTTAATAGATTCTATATCATCAGCATCGCCCCATATCATTCGAAAATCATCAATTATTATGTTTTTATTAAGGGTATAAGGTGATAGTTCCACGTTTTATAATAATATTTCGAAGACATGTGAAGTTCGCCAACACACAATTGGGAAGCGCGGCAGACATTTTTTTGCCCTAAAACCCTCTCAGAAATGAGAGGAGGCATGTGCCCAGCAATATATAAGCTGTAACTTTAACCACGATTTAAGTAAAAAGATGTTCATAGGATTATCAAGATCAAATCAGTACAGAGGAATACAGCTTGTTCTTAAAGTTTCTGCTCAATTTCCTTCACTATAACACAAACTCTTACATCCTGTCGGAATTCTGTGACGTCCTCTTTGCTAAAGGATATCTAACAATGCTGCCGAAATGTCATATAAGAAGGTATTACTTGATTTTTAGTATTCAAACTGTAATCTGATAATTGTTTTTTTTAATTATCAAATTTTTTTACCAGTTAGTTGGGAAGTTATGAAAAATATACATACATGAAGCTCAAATTGTTGAAAGTGCTATAAGAAGTAATTGTTCTTGCTTGCGTGCGTGAGTGCGTGTGTGCTTGCGTGCGTGCGTGCGTGCGAGCATGTGTGTTTGTGTTTTATGGCAGCTGTACATGCTCGTCTCGTCGCCTCGCGTGCCTCTCGTCGCGTAGAGGCTCGACACTAGAACACATCTTGTACACTCGTTGTATCACTTGAACTCCGGATGCCCGCTGCGATGGACCTGCGACCTGTTAAAACTGTTGCTGCGTTTTGTCTTTGTGCTATTAGTAATTATATTTTTTACACATTTATCATTCAAAGAAAATTAAGAAGCCATGACAAAGAAAAAGATAGTGGATGACTTCTATTCACCGTAACAAAACCATATAACTACCTATATTTTTATTTATTTAACAATATTTAACCCTACAGTACATGTGTACAGGCGCGTTCTCGTTTTCTTCACGAGACTCTTTGACTCGAACGCAAAATACCGACACGCTTCCGAGAGCAAACGAGGGCCGCGAGACGCGACGCGACGCGAAGAGGGCACCATGTACACACTCGTACTCCGCCTGTCTCGTGGTGTCTCGACGATTATGTTTTTCACCTAGCCCATTGCAGTACACACTTCTTCTACTAACTTTCCGGTTGACTGGTAGAAAATGCCACATGGTATTATGTCCGCCGTTTGGTACAATAAAGTGTATAAATAAATAAGATTAATTTGATTGCGTCTATAACCTCATTACTGTTTCAAGAATAACGCAGTACATAATAATAACACAGTAACATGAATATAAAAATTGAATGATATAAACCAGAAAGACAAAAGCATATTCACCACTTTATTCAATGATTTGCAGAAACGATTCAACTGTTCGTAAATTAAGCACATTAATTTTGGGGGAAATACTTATAGGACTAGCTAAGAAATATCTAGTGAATGAAACAGAGGATAACGAAATGTGTGCCAAACAAATCCATGTAAGTTAATATAAAAACATTTGTTAATATTATGTCGTCATATTATGCATAAGCATCTGCTCTGTATGCATTATTACTAGGTAGTATAATGCGGTACAATAAATACTCTTTATTGTACACTAAGGAAAGGTTAATATATAACAAAAATATAGAAATGTTGGATTTGAACTCTGGCTCGCGTGATCGCATTTGAGGATTGACCTTTACGAATTTCATTATGGACAAACACGACTACGATCAAATTCTGTCTTACGGTGCTTAAATGAGGTGCTTTCTACATAAAAGCGTTTTAAGACAAGTAGTGCAATCTTGCGCAGAGAGTGCACATTTAAAACCATAAAACATCATCGGCCTAAAACCTTTTCGCCTTAATTACATTTTTGGTAGGGATGAAGAAGTGCACACAGGCACTCTTTTCGCCAAAATTATTTTAATCAATATACCTAGTTTGAGTTTATTATGCTTTAAAATATAACATTCGAAATTAAAACATTTATTGGCCAGGAGCGCAGAACTTTCAGTATGCCCTATGTAGTGGTCGTTAGAGTGACTGCTGATTATAGGGATTCAACCCTATTTGCGCTATTCTGTCAGTGCCCGGTGCTTGAGTGTTTTACACCTGTGCCCCGGAAAACGCAAAAGCTTGTAAAGCCGTTGGTTCTGCGCCTGATCGGATTACCGTCCCATCAGACTATGAGAATGAAGGAATGGAGAGTTCACTAGTGTTTGCGCAAACACTCGTGCACTATAATCCTGTCCTGCGCAGATTACTAATCTCCTTTGAGACTGACTGTGTGACCAAAATTCTGAGACAATATACAAATATTGAAGGAAAGCAAAAGACGGCCTTATTGTTATACAGAAATTTATTTCAAAATAAACACACAAAGACTTAAAAAGGATAAAGGTTTACAAATAGGGTGCATTCACGGGGTGCACTATATAATAATGATAAGCGCCTCACCTGATGGTAAGTGTCGACTGTCGCCCATGAACAACTGCAGCATTAGGGGAATAGCTTCTAAGCATAATGAACATTACAACCTATCCCTAGTCCACTGATGTAAGATTTACCAGCACGATTCTAATTCAAACTTAAGTCACAAACGAACTTCTGCGGTCTCTTGACACCTACAGTCAATTTAAAACATAGAAGTTAACGCTAGATGCATACACTATTGGAAAGATTGCTTATCTTAGTTGCCACGCTAGCCAGTAAGGTTCGCAACCACAGTTTTTATTAGGTTTTCCAGGCAAATGTCGCTCATTTCCGATGACATCGATAAGATCACCAATTAAGGTGCCTAATAAATCTTGAAATTATTTTTATAATAGAAGACTAATCAAATTATATATCTATTTAAGATAATCTACGAAAACGTGTTTATTTTATACAACAACTCTTTTTTGCAGTATGGTTTAGTGGAGTTGCAATACGGAATGGAAAGGCCTCAAAACATCGGGGAGCAATTACAAAAGAGCCAGCCTTACAGCTTACTCATTTACATATACTTTTACTGTCAATCTTCAGACAAGTATTTTCAAATAATCTTTTTTATTATTTTAACATATAAAGATTAATATTTGTTTGTTCGTATTTTATGCGCTGCCATACCGCTCATCAGGTTGCGGTAAAACTTTGTCAACTGATAGCTTGCACTTGCGCGAAGGTTATAGTTATAATAAAATTAACTAACACAGTAGGAGGCGCGCGTATTGTATCGACAAATTTATTTGAAAGTTATATATCATCATCATTATCATTCCTAATTAAACAATATAACGCCTCCGAATTTAAAACTATATTACCAAATAATTAAAAATTAAAAATTTTGTACAGCCGACTTCAATTTAAGTTATTTAAGAATAACTTAAAAACTATTGGTCTGACCTTGATCAAATTCATATGGAACCACACGAGAAGTACCAGCTTTCAAATAAAAAAAGAATCATCGAAATCGGTTCACCCAGAAAAAAGTTCTGAGGTAACACACATAAAAAAAAAACGAAAAAAAAAAACATACAGTCGAATTGAGTACCGGCTCCTTTTTGGAAGTCGGCAGAAAAAAAAGCAACCACTTACCATCAGGTGGACTGTGTGTTCGTTTATCATCCTTATTCTATAAAAAAAATATATTTCTTCTGCGGCAGCGGTTACCAGCTATAGTTTCTTATAAAATTTACGTTAGCGTAAGAGTTCATCTGCGTTGGTATATTGTATACCCCTTATGTCCGTACGTAATCTGTCCCGGTTTAAAGCGTAACGAAGGCTGTACAATTTTTTTAAAGAATATGGGTGACAAACAAAGCCCAAAGTCCACCAATGCTGTGAGCCATAGACATCTACATTTATCTTCGATTAAGAATCAAAATGCAGATGCGTCATCAGCCCTGAGGACTGAAATGGAACGAGGCGTTCCATGGTAAGCTACTACTGCAGCCCAGATACACTGCAAACAAATAAGGCTAAACATTTTTTTCACATGCACATCTACATTTATGCTCAATTAAGAATCAAAATGCAGATGCATTGTCACCCCTGAAGACTAAGATGGAATGCATCATTTCCAGTAAAAAGGGACTCCGATTCTCCACACTCACCATACGAAATACAGCAGCATTAAGCTGCTATTTTATACTGCTATTCTGTGAGAGCGTGGTCCTTCAACAGTCGAGCCTTCCCGTTCGTGTTACAATCATAATAATTCTGATTGTTTCATTTTGGTATTCACAGGCCTGATGAGATGGCTTGCACTATCATCTGGTGGACTATTATCTTGTTTATCATTCCAATTTTTATACAATCCCGCTGAGTTTTCTTTCCAAGACGTAGGCATTTTCCGATTCACGTAAAAATAACTTTTAAAAGTGAAAAATAATATTATGTAACAATCTACAATACATTGAATAAGGCTCGTTCTTTTCTATTCTATTCTACAAAAAAACTTTTAATTAAAAAAATATTTTTTACAGTCCAGAAGAAGCCACCGCTCCTTTACTGCCGTTTTTAGTCGAATACGTGCTGTGTCTGCCTAAATCCATTAAGCCACCTTTATACATTATTAAAGCACTGTGGCTTGTTTTTGCAGTAAATATTATTTAAACTTATTTTTTTATTTTAATATTGAAAATTTAGATTTTCGATTTGATTTGTAAAATTTTGGTGATGTTAGAGTATGGCTTTGAGGCTTTAGTATTACACTGGATCTAAATAACATTTTAAGCTTAATTTGATGCGTCCTTATGTTTTTTATTCAAACATTCTTTAAAAAAAATCTTTCTTAAAAAGTTTATCAAGGCTGACTAGATACGGCAAAAAGCCTGTCTTCCATTATATAAAATAAAATTAAATCAAATGTACCGCAAGAATTGCGTGTGATGTGTATGATAATGTTCTGACCACGAATATACCAGCTGGTACTTTGTATACATATGTAGTATGTACATAATATATTGAATCAATATCTACTAAAAGTCTGAGCTATCGTAAGAGATTACACATAATTAGATATTCTGCCCACACCATTTAGCATTCTGAGATATTAAACCGCCCCTACGACGAGTAGTCCTCGCGGGATTCACCAAAGGCGGTGTTTCTGGTGATCGCTTTGTAATCCTTATCAACAATATACTTGTATATTAAAAAAAAAACTTTGAATAAAATTTAAAAGTCTACTTCAAATAATAAAATAATTTCCACATAACATCTTCAGAAGTCGATGCAAAGACATAGTGTATTCTACACACATGTTATGCGGAAAAATTTCAACCCCTATTTTCACACACTTGAGGGTGGAAATTTTTCTCCAATTTATGATACTACTCCTTTAGTATAACCTATTCACTAAATCGAAAAAGAATCGATTCACAATTGATGAACATATTACGTAACTAACATGTAAAAACATACAGTCGAATTGAGTACCCCCTTCTTTTTGGAAGTCGGCTAAAAAGCATTTAAATATTAAGCAATAACGAATTACTTTATAATGGTGTATTACCATTTTAATTGTTCTGAAATATTCTATTATAAAAAAAAATGTCATCTTCGGAATATAGTGTGTATCGTCTTCACCGTCCATTAACATTATCCTTACAGCCTATTCACTGCTGAACATAGGTCTCTCCCATAGATTGCCTCATAAGGTGGATTTTACCCCACGTAACCACGTTGCCACGCTTGGCAAGCGGTTTGGCATCCGCGTTTTAGTTATCAATAACATGCTTCTGCCCATCTTCTGTCTTAAGTTCTCTCTGTCGCTTCTTACGACACCCACAGGACACTGGTGTAGTGGATATTCTTACATCGTAACACTACGTACTAATCATAGCTTATAAAAATATTTTATAATTGTATGTTTGTCACTAAAATAGATGTCTACAATATCAAATGGTTCTCTGCAATCGTTAGAAGAGAGAGTTTACCTAGAGAAGGCTACGGATCGCCTAATATCGTTATTACATCCAGAACCTTACATATTATACACACATAATCCTGCTATCTTGTTATGGGTGTTCTCATCACATAGGATACCTCATTACGTGCGGTCACAAGTTGTAAGTATTTCATTTTACAAGAAATCATTAAGTAACTCTACTTCTTTTTACTTCATTAGCACGTAACATTTCTCTACTGAAATGGACTTCTGTATTAGGGAAGATTTACCATAATAGCCAAGCTTGACTGGTAGATTGGCATCGCAGTACCAGAAGTTTTGTAGCTTTCATGCTGCTCTCCGTCCACGGTGTGGTATATTTTGCAATAACCGGCCAAATTTGTAGAGAATGTTCAGAATAAGTAATATAGACAAATGGTGAAGAATAATTAATAAAATAAAAAAAATCTCAAAAATTCTGTTCTTTTTATCTTTTATTTCCAAAATGCGTGGTAATGCTTTATTTTAACGTATTTTACTGCGCACGCACACATTCGTAAGGATCGATAGGTAGGCAAAAACGTTGTTGCCCATAAATTGCAGTCAATTTGGGATAATTTCAAATAAAAGTAGAAGCCTTATTTACTAGTATTTTCAAAACTGCAATAACGATATATCATTATTTATATACTTGAACTTAAGTTTCAAATTTGGCTACTCTTTGAAAAATAACCCTGTATATGTACGTTTGGTGTATATATATCAGATATATATACCATATGCTACCATAACCATCATTTATTGGAGCATATGGTTACTTTCTGGTTTTTGCCATGGACACATCTTACGCCACCCAGGGGATGAAATGGGGTTATGGATACATTACACGATATAACTATTGTCCATTAACCAAATAAAATATGAATAAAATAATCTTTATTACTTTTAAAAATGTTTGTTATTCATATGTTTGCTAAAATTTCTTGTTAATTGTTTTATATTACCATTACTCTTACAGCCTATTAAATGTCCACTGCTCAACTTAGGCCTCCACCATAGATTACCTCAAAGGGGGGATACTTGCCATAATTAATAGTGGTAGAGCCACGCGGCAGCTTTTGCTGTCGCACGGATGGGCCGGCTCGAACCGGGGTGGTACCACGACCTCACAGAAAACCAGCGTGAAGTAGAGGTTTACCTCTGCGTTTCGCTTGGTGAGTGCAGGTGGCCGGAGGCCCTTTTTACTGGAAATGAGGCATTCCATCTTAGTCCTCACGGGTGACAACGCATCTACATTTTGATTTGTAATAGAGGATAGATGTAGACGTCTATGTGCCGCAGCAATCACTTACCATCAGGTGGACTGTGTGCTCGTTTGTCACCCTTATCCTATAAAACAAAATTGTCGCGCTTGGCAGGCGGATTGGCAGTTTCAGAGTTTTTGATTTGATATTAGGAAAACGCTTTTTTAATAGAATAGGGTGACAAACGAGCACATAGTCCACCTGTTGGCAAGTGGATACTGGAGCCCATAGATATCTACATTTATTCTCAACTAAGAATCAAAATGCAGATGCGTTGTCACCCCTGAGGACTAAGATGGAATGCTTCGATTCCAGTAAAAAGAATCCCCGGTTCTCTACACTCACCATACGAACGAAACACAGCAGCATTAAGCTAATATTTTACGCTGGTATTCTGTGAGAGCGTGGTCCTACCCCGGTCGAGCTGACTCGATGATTTAGCTGCAGCGTGACTCCACCATTTACCACCATCTTCTGTTTTATATTCCTCTATAGTTTCTTACGTCACCCGCAGGACTATATGGGTTAGGGGATATTCTTCCACCGCCACCTCACGGTCAGTTGTAGTTAAAGATTTTTATATCAAAATAATTTAATTTAAGAAGCATGTCGTCCTCATAAGAGAGAATTCTATCATGCAAAAACATCCGAGCTCTCCTCTCCATAGTCCAACGTATCAGCAAACTGAAGTGGCAAGGGGCCAACCATATAGCCAAAACTTTGATTTCAGACCTTATCTGACTGGACGACGCTATAGGCAACTAAAAATAAGTTAAAAGTTATAAAATCTGTAAAATTAGTTTTATTCAATATTATGTAAAGAAAAATTTAAAATTTTAGTTATCACAATGGCTCAAAACAGAAGATACATTGCCCGACGATTTGGCAAAGGAATTCGAGGTCTGGGAGCTTTTGCTCAACATTCTCATTAAATGCACGGAAAATATAATCATTCATAATTGTATGGAGATGCTCAAGTTGTGCTTAGCAGAAGCGGAATATGAATCAAAACAGGTCTTTGCTACTACCATTTGGTCGAAGTTGCCAGAAGTTCTGTCCAAAGCGTTGATTGACTATAATTTTGAAATTGGTAATTTTGAAATGTTCTTCGTCCCATAGCTTGTAAGATGCGACTGTAAAGAGAGATAGAGAGAGAGAGAGAGAGAGAGAGAGAGAGACTGTTTTTGACTGAGGCTTTAAACGCTGATAATGATAAAGTTCAAGCTTTTTTTACAAACAGTAGTGTAGCACGGATTTCTGCGCGTACAAGTAACTTACAAAATATGAAAGTTGTAAAAAATACCATTCAATTTCAATGAATGTATTATAATTCCTAATCCTAATTAAACAATATAATTCTTCCAAATTTGAAACGATTATTCCACAATTATTTTTTCTGCGGCAGCAACGCGCGTGGGACCAGGTACCAGCTAGTAAATTATAAATAATACTTATTTAAATTCATTCTTATGTTTATTATACCACTGGTTCGGAAAATGCCTTTTTACTGGGGAGAATCAGTAAGAAACCCCTTTTTACTGACGTCATTAAAAAGTCCAGACGGGGAGCAGAATTTTATTTCTAAAATGGCGCTCCCTAAAATTTGCCGTCGGGGTGGCAACGATTCTTCCTGCGCCCCTTGCTACGTCACTGTTTGAAAAAGAATATTAGTAACTCTATTAACATTACTTACATGTAATCTCATTAACCACTTCAGGTAAGCTTTAAATGCTTCTTTGGAGTGATTCACGAATAGTTGAATGTAGTCGAATTCGAACCCACGACTTTCAGAGTTTTGTCCTTCTCCGGTCGAGCCGATCTATTTGTGGTACAACCATAAGATAGCTGCAGCGTGGTTCTACCACGTAAAAAGTTGAAGTTACCCATGTCGATTCTAAGCACATAGACTACTTCTGAATATTGCCGGAAGCTATCGAATAACCAAGAGATGTAATAGTGCCACAAATGTTCGCGCTAATACAGAACCACTCCTTATTTTATTTGGGCACTGTGTCATCCACAAAGACAATCACAGTATAAACGGACATGAAAGTCTAAAACAATAAATTGTGTTTTGCATAAATATCGACTCCTCTCTAACCTGGGACCCGCGGATTATTAGTAGTCAAAAAGGAGTGATGACACGATGGGCTGGGGACAAAAATGTTTTTTTTATATAGGATTAGGGTGACAAACGAGCACACAGTCCACCTGATGGTAAGTGGTTGCAATGGCCCATAGACATCCACATTTATCCTCGATTACGAATCAAAATGCAGATGCGTTGTCACCCGTGAGGACTAAGATGGATTGCCTCGTTTCCAGTAAAAAGGGTCTCCGGTTCTCTACACTCACCATACGAAACACAGCAGCATTAAGCTGCTATTTTACGCTGGTATTCTTTGAGAGCGTGGTTCTTCCCCGGTCGAGCCGACCCATTCGTGTTACAAATATACGAGAAATATAGCTGCAGCATGGCTCTACCACGTATTATATTCACCGATTATATTCACTGTGAAGAGATAAAATTATCTTGTCTTTATGCCAAAGCACGGTAACAGGGAGAAGCATATCCCCGTTTGACATAACGAGTAGACATATATCCGTCCGTAGCATGGAGCCAAATGAAAGATAAAAAATTATGCTTTTTTGATATTTGAAAGGGACAACAATTTTATCCTAGTTAATTAGACATGGGCTTAATATAAAATTCATACAAAAATCTAAGTCTATCTCCCATTTTATCTACTGTGGATATTATATCCACCGTTGTGCCCATACTCGAAGGGTGGATAAAACTAAGCGAGGGAATAAACATTTTCTTCTTTCCCCGGGGGTAAAATTGTCTCCTGCCCATGCTAGCCCTGCAGGGGGTCGATGAATGCAGGTAGTTCAGGATCAGTACCGTGGATATGGAGCCGTGGATATATTATTGAATACTCAAGAAGTTATTGACACTTGAATACCATAAACTATTCAAACTTAATTTTTTAAGCTTTTAACTCCAATATGTAGTATTGACTTTCATGCATGTCGCCAAAGACATGTGAATTAGGAGATGGGCAGCAGCATTTTTCTGGTAAAAACTCAATAGTAATGAAAATTGCGGGAAACCCATCTGCCAAGTGTAGCAACTGTGTTAAATATTTCTGCTATAAGAGGCTTATGTTCACCAGTGGAATTATGATGGACTGAAAATAATGAAATTATGATTAATGTGAAAATGGTCAAAGAGCAACTTTTTTTATAGAATAAGGCTAACAAACGAGCACACAGTTCACTTGATGGTTAGTGGACGCTATGGCCTATAGAGATCTACATTTTATCCTCAATTAAGAATCAAAAAGCAGATGTCTTTTCACCCCTGAGGACTAAAATGGATGCCTCGTTTCCATTAAAAATGGTCTCCGGTTCTCTACGCTGACCATATGAAATACAGTAGCTTTAGGTTGCTATATTATGCTGATATTCTGTGAGAGCGTTGTCCTACCCCGGTCGAGCCGACCCTTTCGCACTATAAAATATTTGTAGCGGTGGTTCTATCATGCATGTAACTTGGTGACATATTGTACAAATCGTTCTAATTATTCGTTATTTTAGGAACAAATATATGTTATTTGATGGATATTGCTACAAATCTATTACCCACTGAATTAGACCAGACTATTTGTCTCAAAACAGCAGTTGTATTAACGGTACTTTTTTCAAAAAGCAATCTGGAAGCCACGTATGAATCAATTGAAACAAAAAATCATTATGAGTACGTGTGTTTAAAATTGAGCCTCGTTTTATTGCACTTAGCTCATGACAAAAACGACAATAAAGGTAAGAACTTAAATTAATACCTTTAGCTTAAAATCGCCAGGATTTAAAATTAAAAAAAAATATGATTAATTTTCAATGTTCTTGCAGAAGGAAAAATCTCAATTGAGATACTTTGCTAATTAAATTAATGAAACGAATTTTAAAGAAAACGAAATATTTTATTCGTCACTGCAACACAACGTTCACACAAACTATTGATGAAATAAAAAGTAGTAAACGTTGTAATACCAAAAAGGTTTGAGACCGTAATTTCTATCCTTAAAACGCGTTTTGATCAACGAATTTTTTTGAAATTTATTAATTAGTAAATAAATACTTTTCCCCGCATAATCAATGTTAATTCCTTTTTACTGGTAATGTGCTTTTCAGCCTGTATGTATGTTTGTTCCTTTGTGGCGCTCTAGAGATCAAACGCGTGGGCCGATTTTGATGATTGTTACGTCAATCGATTTGTCTTAATCTAGTGTGTCACTAAAGATGTGACAGTAATCAAATTTCAATATGGCGATAACCAGACGCCATATTGTGAAAAATAAAAAAAAATAAAGTCGACGAAATATGTCAAGTGCGGTTAGGTTTCTCTAATCATTTTTCATTTGGAATGACTGTTTAGGATCTATAACGATTTAAATTTGGTTAGCAATCATTCTCACTTAAATTTTCAAAACTTATAACAAAGCTGCGATAAAGTTTTTATACTTGTACTACCTCGCCAGGCAGACGTTGTTCTGCCCTCTCCGACGACCCCTTTTTTCAATAAAAATCCTTAAATTCGTAATAAAAAATATTGAGGGTCATTTACCGGGATAAAAATTATCCTATCTCTCAAGTTGGACCAAACTGAACGCATACTGCGTTCAAAATTTTATTTAAATCAGTTCAGTAGTTTAGGAGTCCATCGCGGACAAACAATAATATTTATATATTATAAAGATAATCATTGAGCTATATAAACCAATGGTTATACGTATAATAGGTCTTATTAACGTGAAAAATAATCATTCACTTTTCAGTTAACTGTTTTACGCAGTCGGTTTTTTAATTACAGTTTTAACCAATATTCTTGTTAGTAAATTCTATAATATTTCTGCTATGCAAGGTGTTGACGTACTTCGCGCCTTGTGCTACGTTGTAGTACTTCAACGTAACTAATTATTGTAATGTATCTCTAGCATCCACAGTGAAATGTGAAACAGAAAAATAAAAATAGTAATTTTATTTTGTACCAAAAATTTTATTATAATTCAATTGCTAATTCTCAGATGTCGTTGAACAAAAGTAGTTGGCTTTAATATACAATTTACGGTCTGCAAGTTTTGTGGTATATTACAACTAACTCCATATTATATACATAATATAAATATAGTGGGTTATTGCGGCAACGAACAGGCATTCGACGGGCATAATTCTGTAACAGTGTTGCCACAGCAATGGCGATTAAGAGTGTTACCACATCAATCGATGGATCGTCGATTGATGCCATTGATAGAAGTCAAACGCTATCAATCGATTAGTGTAGTAGCTTTAGTTGATTGACGGATACTGGTCGATAAAACGTAGTTCAATCATCGATCGACGTCGATTGACAATTAATCGATGTGGTTGTGTGCTCATCATCAGTACCTTTCAAAATGTATTCAGAAGATGACGATAAGGAGCGGTTGGTGGGGCGGGGCTACCATCGTTCGATCGGCGTGGTAGAAACTATCGATCGACGTCAACTAATCCATTCCACCATCGATCGGTGCCATCGATAGACAATTGATCGATTGGTGTGGTAACACCCTAACGTATTTGGCTGTAGATACTGTTCAATGTTATATACTGAGATTGGCGAGAATCATTAACAGCACAAAGATATTTTTATAACGTAGAATTGACTAACGAACTTGCAGACCACCTGTGGTAAGTAGCTACTGGGCTACTGCAACACACATGCATTGTCACTTTTGAGGACTAAGACGGGATGCCTCACAGCCTCTAACTATACTGGTTGTCTATAACCTTTAAACCGGAACACAGTAGTGCATGCACTGCTATTCAACAGTTAAGAGATGGATAAGAGGGTGATATCTACCCAGACAGATTTCCAGGCAGAAAAGGAATCTATGTCAATCACCATATATCATTTTTTACGTGGTAGAGCCTTGCTGCTGCTATATTAATAGTATAGTTATAGCACGAATGGGTCGGCTCGACCGTGGAAGGGCCACGCTCTCACAGAATACCAGCGTAAAATAGCAGCTTAATGCTGCTGTGTTTCGTATGGTGAGTTTAGAGAACCGGAGACATATTTTACTGGAAAAGAGGCATTCTATCTTAGTCATCACGGCTGACAACGCATCTGCATTTTAATTCGCAAACCAAGATAGATGTAGATGTCTATGGGCCAAAGCAACTACTTACCATCAGGTGGACTGTGTGTACGTTTGTCACCCTTATTCTATATAAAAAAAATGGTCAGTATGAACTAATCCTTGCATAGTTGATCGAAAATATCCTATACCCAGTAGTACGTATAGAAAAGTTGGTCACATTTTTCACTTATATTTAGCGGAAAACGTTAAAGAGTTATTAATACGTCATGTTACGTTCCAAGTACCGAGAGGTGACAATGCACCAATAGTTCTTTGTTTCTTCTTCTTCAGGAGCCAGTAAACGACCACTGCTGTTCTTAAGCCACGCTTGGTAGCAATTAAGACAAAACTTCCCAATGGAAGCAATGAGACCTTTCTGGAATTTTCCTATAGTTGTCTATTACGACACCCACGGGACGAAATGGTGTGACGAATTCTCTAACGCGGCAATCACACGACTTTACACGTTCTTTAACTACCTGGGAAAAGTCCATATCTGGAATTGGGTTGTTTATGGTATTATAAAAAAGGTAATACTATGTAATTGGTTGGGACTGCATCGTTGGTCTTGTGGTCTTAATGGGACTGCGGATCATATGGTCCCGGGTCGGGTTAGAATCAGCTATTGTTTTTATGTCAAGAACTTCTTACTACAGGAGGTTGGCGGCATTTCACCCCGATGCCTCCGGAGGTACATAAAGCCGCTGGCCCTCAGCTTGATCTCTCCCCGATTGTTCGTCAATGTGAAATAATAGTGAAATAAAACAATTCATTCATACCTTCATCCAGCCTATGCAAAGTTCACTGCTAAACATAGGTCTCATCCATACAAAAAGAAAATGCAATACTAAAACAATCTAGCGGAACACGAGCGTTTCTATACCAAATAGTAATACTGCGGCATTGCGTGGAGCTAACACCATTTCATTACCTCGATACACATACAAATGATGGAGCATTTTATTTTTAAAACACCTTACGTGTAATCGACTTTTAATTCATGTATAGGTACCTCAAAACTTGAAAACGAGACTGTACACCCAGTGCGTGTTGCCAGTGATGACATACGGAACTGAGACGTGGTCCTTCACTGCTGGCCGGATGAGGAAGCTCAAGGTCGCTCAGCGAGCTATGGAGAGGGCTATGCTCGGAGTTTCTCTGCGTGATAAACTCAGAAATGAGGATATTCGCAGTAGAACTAGAGTGACCGACATAGCCCAACGGATTAGTAAGCTGAAGTGGCAATGGGCCGGCCATATAGCTCGAAGAACCGACAACCGATGGGGAAGAAAGGTTCTCGAGTGGCAGCCTCGTACCGGCAGGCGAAGTGTAGGGCGTCCCCCCACTAGATGGAGTGACGACCTGGTAAGATATGCAGGAAGTCGATGGATGCAGGTGGCTCAGGACCGTGCTTTGTGGCATTCTTTGGGGGAGGCCTATGTTCAGCAGTGGACTTGTGAAGGGCTGTAATGATGATGATGATGATGTATAGTTCCACTGATTATGTCTTTCTATCTCATTACATGTTTGTTAATATTTTAGTGTTATTGACATATACAAATCGCGAAGGGTTTCTACGTGGTGTCCTATTAGCCACAGACCACGTGGACGATCGCGTCGCGTGCGCCGCTTTGCAACTACTCTCTTACGTAGTGCGTTACTTCGCTAGGAACAACTATCAGGTCAGAATTTTAACTTATTGCTCGCATAACCCACATGTCCTAAGAGTTAGTGAGTAACGTAAACCATATATAAACGTAATAGCATCTCGAAATCAAACATTAAACGGTGGTTTTGTAATCGATTGTGTTATGATAGTACTATATACGCAACTTCTATTTTGGTTCGTTTCGTTGCATAAATAATTAAAACGATTCCAAGTATGAAATATTCGTTACATAACATATAAATAATAAAATAATATATAGTATTAGGAATATGTTATGTTCAGGAAGCTACAATATTGAAATATAAATATGCAAAAAAAATTAGACAAATTAATCTTAGTATAGATTTATATTTTCTTTATTGTATATTTTTGTATAATATGGGTTTAGATATTTCAATTAAAATAAAATAAATAATCTAATTATTAAAAAATAAATATTCTAATTGAAATTAATCTCAACTTAATTTATTTACATGTTTAAACTAAAAATATTATGAATTAATTGATTGACATTTTCGTTTTTATATAGATGCTATTTAGTTGCCATAAGTATAGCTGCAAGTACATATATTTATATTCTATAAGAATTAATGTCTTGATTTTCTATTATATTCTAACATAATCTGTCTGAAAATATTTGTACGCCGGTAACGGCAGAATATTTTGATTCCGAATTATTTTGTAACAACTTTAATGTACCATATTCTTACAAATAAATCATCTTTTCATATCTTAATTTATATTTAATTAATAATTAACATACATTGCAACCCGGAACCGCTACCGCTAAAGTGTGTTGTTCTTTTGTTTGTATTTTTTTTTAAAATTACATTATTATAAGGGTGTAAGGGGAAATGAATGTAGACCCTTTGAGGTTCTGAATAACCGATAGCATAAAATTTAATAGACTCGTGACTGAGAGCAACATTAATAGTACCGAAAGTATTGGATCTTAGATCTTTTCAGATGAATTATTTTTAGAAATACCAGCTGGCAGGTACTTGGCAAGATCTATGTCCTGGTGTTGAATTAAATTTTGTTAACGATGATAATAATTACTAGTTGGGGTATTTATAAACTTGTCTCGTCTGGTTGGGATGTATAAATTTAATTAAGCAAAATGATAAAAAAGATAAAATAAGAGATATGTTAAATATAATAAACATACATAAATATAGTAAAATAAACGTATATATACATAAAACCACAACTAGATGGAAGAGTTATTGATTTATTATTATTATAATTCGTCTCTATAAATGCTCCTTCGGTTTTAGAGCCTTGTGGAATATTTAGAGATAATGACAAGAGACCAGACGGTATGACATTGGTCCCTTGGGAGAGAGGTAAAGCCTTAGTGTGGAATGCTAGTGTGGGCAGCCTCTCATCTCAGGGGGACCTTGTTTAGAGCCGGGGCAGCGTCAATGGCAGCTGAAGTAAGGGGCGTAAATATGAATCTTTGCGAGATAACTACATATTTGTGCCATTTGCTGTAGAGTCTATCTGTCCGTGGGGTCCACGTGCGGTGAAGTGCATACCAAAAGGAACTGTGGCCGCGACTGGTCGTCGCTGCTTGTGATAAAAAGCCTGGTTCTTTTCTCGCTCAAAGTATAGCCATTCAGCGAGGAAACGCAGCCAGCGTCCTTGGCACGATACCGCGGGAAGTAGGACTATGTGATAATTTAAGTTTTTAGTTTTAGTTTCTTTTATTATAGTTTTTTAATATTGTCTATTATAAAGTGTGTCAACCATGCATGAGATATACATACATACATATGAACATAATATTCTTAGTAGATAGTAATCTAAAGCTACTTAATAATGTTGTATGTACGTGTCTTTGAAAGTGCTCCTACCTTCGATCTATGCTGTCCTGTGTTATATATAACTCATCTGAATTTTGAGTCATACTTGAAAATAGTCGTATGTGTCTATGAGCCATAGTATCAACTTACCATCGGATGGACTGTGTGCTTGTTTGTTCCCCTTACTTCTATGTAATAAAATTGAGATTTGAGTAGGTTTCGAGTGTCATTGTGTATGCGCAAACGGTAGTTACCGTAATCGAAAGTAAGAAGCATTATATTCTAATTTTATGCATATACGACAGCACATACCATACAACATACAATACCTCATGTTGTTATAACTTTTGAGAATAACTTTTACTTATTAAATGTCACATTCTAAATTTTTAATTAAAAAAAATGGAAATAAAAGGTGCTTGCAGTATACATTTTAAGTATTGCATTCTAATTTTTGTATATAGAGCTTTATGGTATATTTACCTTTTAAAACTCTGTAATTTTTGAACTGTAAAGGGCGCTAACGAAACATTTATTGATTTAGTCGATCTGCGTTTTCCTCTATTTGAAGACGTGAAAATGTCAAGGCAAAATTTTTTAATGTACTATGAAGTTTACGAGTGAATCGGAAGTTTGTTCACTAATATTATAAAACTAGCTGTTCCCGGCGACTTCGCCCGCGTGGAGTTATTTTTCGCGGAACCCTGAAATAAAAACAGCCCAAGTTACTCCTTATAACATCAGCTATCTGCCAGTGTATATAAATATTGACAAATATTGACATTAATATTTATAGTGTACTAACGTCACTCAATCGTTTTGCCTTTCCGAAACTCCTCCACTAACACTTAAACTTTATGGTATGGTATTAAAGTTCAAATTGACTTTTAAGTATTATTACGAATCTTTTGTATGGGAATAAGTAATAGAAAAGTGTTGTTTTTAAACTTTTTTAGGCAATTTTTTAAATTTTTCTCTCCGTAAGAACCATCTTGGTACTTCAATGAATATTATAAAAAAAGAATTAGCGAAATCAGTTCAGCTGCTCTCGAGATTTGCGCTTAGCAACACATTCAGCGATTCATTTTTATATTATAGATGATGTATTGTGGAGACTTGTTCCGTAGAAGAGAATATAGTATGATGTGGCCTCTCGCGGTCTGTAAGGACTCCTGCCCATATTTAAATTAACAAGGAGAGAATTTGACTAATTTCTCTTCGACCAACTGATCCCCCGGACTAATATACTACGGATATCTGTATAACATGATTTCGTCATTTGGGCGAGTGTCTACATAATTAAATCCTAATGTAAAAACCCTTTACACTTACGAACATTTTTCTATCTAAATTATATCTTTTTTAAATGTTTCGTTTAAGTTTATCTCAAAACTTATAAACACACGAGGTACTACTGTACAAAAATTAGGTTTTTGGAACGAAGTTCCTTATCGCACGGTACGATTTTGATGGAAGGGGGGGGGGGGGGGGGGGTGATAGGCGAGAAAAAGTTAGAAAAAGATTTTTCCGTCACGACCCCCGCTCCCACTATAGAAATAGTGCGAGCGGGGGTCTAATACTATTTTTATCAATTATAATATACTACGAAAGGAACTTTGTTCCAACCGAGTGTTCCATAAGACACTCGCACATGGTTTTTTTTAACATTATATTTGATGACTTAGGCAAAAACAATACTGCAAGTTCAAACGGAGTTGGTGATAAAATCACTACGTAAAGACAGTACAAGCGAACGTGGTGTCCTACTTTTAAATTTTATATACAGAATATTGGATTCAGGTGTAAATACACCGTTTGCTTTTTCCGATGACGTCAAATTTATACCTTCAGAATCACAGCAGTGTGTTGCCTTACGAGCTCTGATGTTTAGGATACAACTTACGCTATGTTGTAAGGTGAGTACTATTTTGTTCAAAATTTTATCTTTGTATCTTTTATAATCTGTGTCTCATTTTCCTTTCATCGTACTTCACTTCGCTCTGGGCTTTTTAGTACCATTATTCGAATAGCGTCACATAACACTTGGGCGTTATTGCCCTCGACTTAAAAAGTGTTTTTAAGGACGTAATAAATAAAAAAAACACTTTTGCACTTATTCGCGTATTAAATAATTAAATTTTGTATGCTGTGATCGCGGTTATGAGTGAGAAAAACACAAATTTACTCAAAATAAAAACCTACAAATCACTAAAATTTTCAAAATTATATAGGGCAAGAAACTGAACGATTACAACACATATGATCGCGATCTCCGCCTACGAAATCTTAGCAATGAATATTAAAATTTCTGACAAGTACATAAGTAAAGATGCGATCCTTTTTATTATGTTCGAAGAAACGCAAATTATGAGTGAGTGCAAAAACGTTCTAAAAGAATCCTTTGTTCATGTCAAATAATATGGAAAGCAATATTTAAAAAAATATAAATATATATAAATGTGAAATATTTTTTCCAATAATTTATCTACTTCTAACAGAGAGAGACACTTTAATTCAAAATTTCAATCATATTTCTCCAGGAATAAAAACTGTCAGTACGAAATCACTATACCTGCTAGAGGCCCCGTTGTTTTTCTTACTTACTTATCTTCACGCACAATCCCTGACGGGGTAGCCAGAAAGAACAGATCGCCAAGTGTCGCGATCCTTACATACCTCTTTCGCTTCTTTCAGATTCATTATCTTCTTCTAGGTATCCGAGTACTCTTGACCCTCCCCTATTCGAGCAATTTGCTCACATGGTCTTCGAATGTTAGTCTCGGTCTACCTCGACACCTTTTAATATTTACTTTCGCGCTATATATTTCCTTCACCATTCGGTCTTCACTCATTTGCTCAACGTGCCCAAACCATCGAAGCACGCCCTTATCAATTTTTGTGATAATCTTTCAAACCTGCCATATTGCGAATCTCTTCGTTTCGCTTTCGGTCGGCCATGGTAACGCCGCACATTTTACGAAGAGATCGCATCTCCACTGCATTCAACTTACTTTTATGCTTCTTCTGGCATAACCAGGTTTCGCTGCCATATAACAAAGTCGGTACCAACACTGCGTTATGTATTGCAAGGCGTGCACTCTTCACTACGCCTTGCCTTTTGACTAACGCAGTCAGGGCACCATTGACTTTGTTCCCGGCAGCGACACGCCTGTCCACATCTAAATCACATCTTTCATCCCGGCTGAAAGCACTCCCCAAGTATACAATTTCATTTACCTGTTCTAGACATTCCTGATTTACCCATATTTCACACTTTGTTCGCTCTTCGTCCCTTTCAAATACCAGAACCTTAGTTTTATTAGCATTCAAAGGGAGACCTTTAATTTCACATTCCTCTTTCATACACGTGACTAATGCCTGCAGTTCTGCCTCTGATGGTGCAATAAGCACTGCATCATCTGCAAACCCGTTGTTTTTCGATAGTGTTAAACCTGTTTTAAAAACAAAATTTGAGCAGTTTTCAAACCACGTTGTTAAATAGTATAACTTAAACCCCCACATTACTCTTGCTATTTTAAAGTATTGTCACCTTGTACCTAGATTATATACTTACTCCGCTCGAGTCCAGTCTGGAAATGTTCGGATATTTTAAAAGATATTGATAATAATTTTCAAATTGTTCTAGAAAAAATTCTAAATTTAACTTTAAGTATAACAACCTGGACTCAAGCTACTTTAAAGCACCTATAAAATTTGATGGTATTGGTGTGAGAAATCTTTTCGCCTGCTTTCCTTGCTTCCATGCATAGTGTTAGTGACTTATGTAATAGGTATAATTTTAATAATAAAGTAGACCTGTGCAGGATGCTACGGAGGCAGGGCAGACATGGCAAATGGTCTGTCCCAACGAGAATGTTTCACTGGAAGTTAACCAATAAAAACAGTGGGATATTTCATTGGTACAGAGTGTGCAGAAGGATTTGTTTCATAATTTCCATAGTGACCAAAATCAGGCACGCCTTCTAGCTGTTTCTACTAAGGAATCTAGTCATTGGTTAACCGCTTTACAATCAAGTAATCTCAGCACATTACTTGATGGGGAAAGCATGAGCATCGCCGTAGAAATTCTACTAGGAGCGGCGATTTGTCAACTGCAGTGCTCCACGGACTTTCATGTAAGAAAAGTGTTGGTAGGTTTTCACGGCACGGTTCCTTGAACGATGTCATCCGAAGGGCTCTTGTCTCTATAAATGTCCCCTCGGACAATGGCTGGAGACCCGACGGTATGACACTGGTCCCTTAGGAGAGAGGTAAAGCTCTAGTGTGGGATTCTACTTGCGTAGACAGTTTGGCGGCCTCTATCTGAGTAAGTGGCGCAAATATGAGTCTGAGAGATGACTACATATTTGTGCCATTTGCTATAGATACTATCGGTCCGTGGGGTCCACGTGCGGTGAAGTTCCTGAAGGAACTATACCCGCGACTGGTCGATGCTGCTAGTGATAAGAGGGCTAGTTTTTTTTCTCACTCAAAGCGCTAAGTATAGCTATTCAGCGAGGAAACGCAGCCAGTGTTCTTGGCGCGATACCACGGGGAGTAGGGCTATATAATAATTGAGTTATTACTTTTAGTTTTTTAATAATAAAATGTTCGTACCTTTTAATATCGTTTAAAAAATATTAGACGAACACTTGTTTGCATTAGACCATATTTTATAATCTATATTTAAATGTGCAGGATACTGAAAATCAATCGGCAGCTGGGTGGAAAACTTTAAGTTCCATTTTCAAACACGCAGTCGTGTACAAAAAGGATTCAAAGTTAGTCGCAATTCTCGCATCCCAACCATGGACGCACACACTCATAAGGTTTCAACTCTCCCAGAACGTGACAAAAGAATTCCTAGCCTTCGCACACGATTGGTTAAAACTCCTGGAAATTATAATACGGAGGAGCCAAGAAGGGCGGAAACGTTACATGTCTAAATACAATCCTGTAACTAAAACACTGATATTAATTAAAAATAATTTGGAAGTTGAAGATGAGTCGAAGGAGTTAAAACAGGAGATCATTCAGATAATTGATAATATAGCAGAGGAGTCGAGTATTAAATTGAAGTAATAGCTTTTAGTAAGGAAAATAAAAACAAATTGATAAAATGATAATTTCCAAATATGACTTTTTGAAAAGGTTTCTACTAAATAAAAAAAATAACAGATTTGTAAAGTTAAGACCTTTTAAGTTTAAACTTAACCCCATTTTAAAATAAATTACTATAGCCTTGGTACGAAAGATTTATTTATGAGCTACGTGATTAAAAAAAGAACTTAATTAATAAAAAGTAAGCTTTAGGCGGAAATTAGTTGTATAATTTTTCAGTTTTAATACATAATAAACTGTTAGTCTGAACATGTGTTTAACTACTATAAAAACAAATAAAGTTTTAAATAATATATTAAAATACAATTAAAATTAAAGATGTTAAAAATGAATTGGCTAAGATCTGCATAATAATACATAATAAAATGATGTGTCTTACCCAGTTTGAAGAGCATCTCCCGCCTTTTCCCAATTGCTTGCACTATCAACATCACCACTACACTAGGAAAGGCACACCACTGTCAATAATACAACACGGGTTTCACCTCTAAACGACACACCATCTGGGGAAATAGCCTCCGCGGTGGTTGACGGCTGAGAAAGCGGGAGGTGCTTTTCAAACTAGGTAAGAGTAAGTAAGTTTTATTATGCGGATTTTAGCTAATTATTTTTTAACATCAGTGGCGGTGTAAGAATATCCACTACCCCATAGATTAGCTCGGATTGCTCCAGAAATTCAATTCTAGCGCACTCTGAATAACCACAGCCTGTTAACAATAAAAACAAAGTTACGAAAGCATAGAGCGTTAACTGCAACAGTTAAAAGTTACAACTGTTGTTAGCGGAACCCATACATAGTTCTAATTAACTTTCTATTAAATCGATTGCCCAAAATATTCAGAAGTCACTTTCCATGCGTTTTACATTCCGAAGGACGAGAGAAATTATAGCAGCACACACCTATAAACGTAGGGGCAACTTGCTTTGAATAAAAATGAGAGTGGAAAGCAAAGACAATACTTAATAATAATAATGTATTTTTCATCGATAGATGCTTTTTTGTCTATGCACGATATGAAGTGACCATTTATGCCTTAGGTTTCGCTGGTAAGGGAAACTAATTATATTTCCTCTCGTGTAAGGAAAAAGCATCGACGAAGGAAAATAATAGCAATAATTTGTGACACCTGAAAATCTGTTAAACCACAAAGATACAGTAGATAGTTATAGTTGGGCCGTACTGCATTAAAGGTTGCGGTCCCGATAACCTGTATATATTATGCGGAAAGTCTGGTGAAAGTGTTAATGATGAATAATTAAATTTTAAATGATGAAATAAGTGGTGTTCGTGGTTGTAGCGCGAATGGGTCTGCTCGAACGGGGAAGCACCACTCTCAATGCTACGTGTCTTTCGTATGGTGATTCTAAGGGGTGATAACTTGTCTGCCTTTTGAATTTTAATCGGAGATGGATGCAATGTATGGGTTACTCCATCATCTGCTTACCATCAGGTGGACTGTTTGCTCGTTTGTCGCCCTTATTCTGTATTAAAAAAGTATTACATGACCGGTACGCTCATAGAGTCTTATAAAGGCAAGCTGAATTGATGGAAGCATATGTCTAAAGAACGTGCTTAAAGCAGTCTTAGCCATATTATGCCACAGAATAAATATAATAGTACTACCTACCTATGCTTTGAAATGGCCTTGTGATGAATGATCATCATTCATGACGTGTTCCTTGAAATCGTATAGACTACTTAAATGAAATTTAAACAAAAATGACATAGAAACGTAAAAGTAAATTATTGTGCTGTTCAATTTCTATAAAATTGTATCAAATGCAATCAGAAGCGAAATATCGTTTTGATTGGGTGGGGTAACTTTTTCATATAATTACTATAGCTTAATATAGACTTAATTACTATATCTGTATACCTTATGGTAGACACCTTCAGGTTTTAACTGCAGATGTATTTAAATTTTGTTAAATGTATACCACAGTAGTTAAGGTAGTACTGTGAAATTTTAGATTACACCCTACCCCTGGGGTCTCGCCGTATCGTATTAGGTGCTATGCGTGTTTCACAATATTCCTAAACAGCCAGAAAATTCATTGAACTTAGATAGAATCTATAATCAGATGAGTATATATATGACATCAACGTGAAAAATTATATTAACTGAGTTTTCTGAATTACATCCGAGTATATACTATACTAATAGTAGATACTATTAGTAACTACCTACTAATAGCAATATTACCTACTATAAGGAGGTACTATATAGTAGTGATAGTGATCGTAAGCGCAAGTAAGCACCATAAACGTAAAGTTATGCACATTACAATAATAGATTGGTACATATTCCTAGATCATAAAATGAACATGAAGTCTTTTCACGGAAAAAAAAACAGTGAATTTCATCCAGTTGTCTTTTTTAAATATTTCTGTAAGTAAAGTGTAGACTTTCGGTTAACGCTAAAAATATTTATTATGGTACCTAGTGCATATTTCTTCGGATTTTTCAGGACGTACATTTTGTATCTAGCTCCACCTAGTAACAATATCAGTTTGAGCTTATTAGATATCTTTATCATTAACGAGACATTTGGGGATGACATTGCCTTTTCAGCCACGTATAGAATATCTTGTGTTAGAATCTTTTGGAATAATTGGGGTTTCCGGACGGACGCTATCAGTCGAAATTGGACCGGATAATATTATAATACAAAAGAAAATTAATTTGGGACGGATGGGATAAGTCACACTTCTTAAATAATTAGCGGTAATGGGAATGATTCGCTTATACAGGGTTATCTTTCAAAGAGTAGCCAAATTATAAACTTAAGTTCAAATAGGTACATAAATAATGACCTACCGTTATTGCAGTTTTTAAAAATAAATTGAATGTGATTTATAGGCAATAACTACGCGTACGTGCGCTTCTCTGTGTGAACTTCAATTCACGACATTTTTGTCGACCGATCAACCCTTACGAATGTGTGCGTACGTAGTAAATTAGGAGACAATCAATAAAAATAATACATTACCACACATTCTGAATTTAATAGGTAAAAAGGACAATGTTTACGATTGTTGTAAATTAATTTTTCTTCACCATTTGGCTGTATTGCTTATTTTGAACCTTTTCTGCAAATTCGGCTGGTTAATGGAAAATAATCCTTTATATTTAAACAAAGACTATATGAGTAGATGAGTATTATTGTTTTTTCCCTTTTTTTATAGGAGAGGGGGCAAACGAGCATGCGGGTCACCTGATGGTAAGTGACTACCGCCGCCCATGAACAAGTGCCACACCAGGGGAATTGCAGATGCGTTGCCGGCCTTTTAAAAAGGAGTACGCTCTTTTCTTGAAGGTCCCTAAGTCGTATCGGTCCGGAAAAATCGCTGATGGTAATCGATTCCACAAGAAAGTCGTGCGAGGATGAAAACATCTTCTAAATCGCACAGTGGTGGACCGCCAATCATCCAGATGGTGTGGATGGTATCGGGAGTTCTGCCGCGATGTGCGTTCGTGAAATTTGGCGGCTGAGATAAGGTCACTATGTTTTATTGATCTGGAAAAAGTGTTGGTAACAGTAAATTACCACGAAGTGTTCGTGTGTGGTATGTTATTCCTAGAAAAATGTACGGTGTTGGGTTGCCAACTATCTATATGAGCTATATAAATTAACTCAGAGAAGCTAATCTCAAACAGGAACAAAAAAATTCAAAATATGAAGTACATCTCATAAAGTCTAAGAGTAAATTTGACACTGAATGCTAAATTATTATTATTCTTGAATTTTTAAATAGTTTTAAGATGTTTATAATATAAAATAATAGCTGTCCCGACAAAGGTTGTTTTGCCCTTTCCGATAAGTGGCTCGATTAGTTTCTGCCCAAATTCATTCCGGACATAATATTACAGTGTAAATATAAAAGTTATTAATAACTCGATTACAATGCCACCTATCGGGTCCAGAGTTTGTTATTTTCTTTTTTGGCACTAAACCAACATATTCGTTTACTGTGCGTATGAGTCATTTCGGTCTTAATATGTTAATAGCTTGACTACAGCGCCACACATCAGATCCTAGCATGGCTGGGAACCATTGCCTCGACGTAACAAATATATTGTGAGAATAATGATCTCAATCGATCTAGTAGTTCAGAAGTTACACTATGACTAACAAACGTACTACTAATTATATATATATACTAGCTGGCCAGGCAGACGTTGTTCTGGCTATTTCGATTCCCCTTCCTATAAAAAAAAATCCTTAAATTCGCAATAAAAAATATATAAAGGTCACTTATCGAAATAGAAAGTATCCTATCTCTCAAGTTGGACCAAACTGCACACAATGTGCAAAATTTCATTGAAATCAGTTCTATAGTTTAGGAGTTCATCGCGAACAAACAATGTGATACTTAATTTATATTTATATATATTGCGCGGAACCCTAATTATTTTTCTAAAATAAAAGTAGCCTAAGTTACTTCTTATAACATTAGCTATCTGCCAGTGAAATTCCGGTCAAAATCGGTCCAGCTATTTTGGAGATTAGCCGGAACAAACAGACAGACAGACAGACAAACATTTTAAAAATCGTGTTTGTTATAAGTACCGTACATATGCATATAGTAAAAAGCTGTTATTTCGACATTAAAAACAGATACTTCAATTTTATTTATTTGTATATAATATATAGAGATTCTTTTCTATTTTATAGATAAAAACGTAACCCCTATTACCAACGACATAAATAGGAATTTCTCTGGAATTGTGGTAGTACTTTACATAACATATCATATTGTACACGAAAATCCAGATAAGAAGCAATTTTTTGTGTTTGGTGTAGAAATATAAAAACATTAAATCAATACATCCAAAGGGCTCTTGTCTCTATAAATGTTCCCTCGGTTTTAAAACCTCGTGGAATATTTAGAGACGATGGCAGGAGACCCGACGGTATGACATTGGTCCCTTGGGAGAGAGGTATAGCCCTAGTGTGGGATGCTACTTGCGTAGACATTTGCTGTAGAGACTATCGGTCGGTAGGGTATACGTGCGGTGAGGTTTCTAAAGGAACTTCATCCGCGACTGTCCGTTGCTGCTGGTGATAAGAGGGCTGATTCTTTTCTCGCTCAAAGGCTAAGTATAGCCATTCAGCGGGTTAACGCAAGCAGCGTTCTTGGCACGATACCGCGAGTAGGATTATATGATAATTAAGTAACTAGTTTTAGTTTTTTTTTTATTACAGTTTTTTTTAATATTGTATATACTAATGTAGTTTAGTAATCCTATTGTATGTACTTGTAAATATTTCAGTTTCTTTTTTAATTTAGTCATTCATTTTTTATAAAATTATTCAATGTTTGATTTACTTTATAAAAATTACGATGAAAGTGATGTCACGTCACGTAAGAAACAACTTGCACTGCCCATTAACGTAAGGCACAAAACTTCCACCGTATATTTCATGGACCCACCCCGCATGCCGTCAAAGTGGTAGCAACTAGTCTCTCGCGCAGTACTTAGACGGCATTCACGTACGCGACTCAGGCGCACAACCGTCGGCTCTTGTTACAAGTGGGCTCTGCAACTGATTAATTTAGTGCTGTGACAGTGATGCTGAAGTGTGCACACGGCTTTATATTGTGACCGTCATGTTAATTGCAAGGACGATAAACCGTGTAAAAATGAACGGTAAGTGTATCTATTATTAATATTTTTATTCGACCGCTTTTTTTTTAGAAATATTCTCTAATAATATAGAATACTCTACAACAGACAATTCTGTGTCAACAATTATTATTGCCAGGGCACATATTAATAATAAATTAACGGTTAAATTATAATATTTGAAAGTATAATATAAGATTCCAAATAGTCATTATTATTTAGAAAAAAAAAACAAATTTATTAATACTCTAACAGTACCGAAAGGGTTTGTTGGAAAAGTTGTTTTGGGCAAAAGATATAAAAAACGTTACGTTTATTTATATTTATCTTTATTTATTAAGCTTAAGATCTATTAATGTGGCATTATTTAGACACAGACAACACACAAGGCCGTTAATTTTATCAAATTTTCGTTTTATTTTTAAAGCAAGTTTTCCGGATAAAATATAGCCTAGATCTCTCCTTGCATTGATTACTCTTTATCTGTCCGTATCAGTTCAGCCGTTCCAAAAATTAGCCCTGATAGATAGACAGTCAGACAAAAAAATTAAAAATGGTTATTTACGTCATAATGGGACGTCAAATAAACGCCTGAGCTTAATAGAAGGCAGTTATTTCAGTATTACAGACAGAAGCTTCAATTATATATATATATATGCATAGATGTTATAGTATCTTAATTAATTTGCCAGTAAAACAATATCCTTTCATTGGAGAACTTTTCTGCCGACTTCCAAAAAGGAGACGGTACTTAATTCGACTGTATATTTTTTTTTATGTGTGTTACCTCATAACTTTTTACTGGGTGAACTGATTATTTCGATGATTCTTTTTTAATACGAAAGCTGTTACTTCTCGTGTGGTCCCATATGAATATGATCAAGGTCAGATCAATAGTTTTTGAGTTATTCTTAATAACTTATATTGAAGTCGGCAGTACAAAATTTTTAATTTTAAATTATAATAAGCTATGCCTGTTTTAAGGCAACAAACATAGATATAAGTGTTTAGTAAACAAGAACTAAAGTTACTTAAATTCTATGGGAATTATAGATTTTAAGTAATTTTTTATAACATACGTGGTTTCATACGTGGTAGAGCCATGCTGCAAGCTATATTAGTAGTATAGTTGTAGCACGAATGGATCGGCTCGACCGGGGAAGAACCACGCTCTCACAGAATACCAACGTAAAGTAGCAGCTTAACACTGCTGTCTTTTGTATGGTTATTGTAGAGAACCGGAGACCCTTTTTACTGGAAAAGAGGCGTTCCATCTTAGTCCTCACGGGTGACAACGCATCTGCATTTTGATTCGCAAACGAGCATAGATGTAGATGTCTATGGGCCACAGCGACCACTTACCATCAGGTGGACTGTGTGCTCGTTTGTCACCCTATCCTATATAAAAAAAAGTATTTTAGTATAGTACATTAATTTACTACACGAAATATTGCTTTGAGCTAAGTAAATTCAATGTAATATTATTAAATTATAAAGTTCATTAAGAATATAAATGTCATTAATAATAATTAGTTTTTATTATTTTCTCTATTTACGTAAACTTTCGTACTTTATGTAAATATTATACTGTATAACAGGACATATAAAATGAAATTACTAGTTACAAGCACCGTTTATGATTAGTAGTGCGTTCATCAAATGCTTGGCTTGTTACCGTAGCGAGTAAGATTGCTCGCACTGGCGCTGTTGCTGTTTAGGAAAAAGATCACAAACCGCTTTTTACATTGATTTCTAGTGTACTATATTCTGAGAAGTGTTTTCTTGAAGATTCTGCTCAGAATCGTCTATAATAATAAATAAATATATGTTATTGCTGTCTTCTTAAGAGGGACAAATATAAATCCTTTTCTTTAAGAAACCGTTACAGAGTTCAAAATCATAAAATCCTACAATGAGACCTTCCCAATGTAAGATTTAGCATAATCACAAAGCTTGGTAGAAATTTGCGATAGCAGTGCACGCTGTCTTCTATCTTTGATGATTTTAGCCTGTATATAATTTATATTATTCACTAGCGACCTAGTAGCGTATTAGTAAGCTGAAGTGGCAACGGGCCGGCCCTACAACTCGAAGAACCGACAACCAATGGGAAAGAAAGGTTCTCGCGTGGCAGCATCGTACCGGTAGGTAAAGTGTAGAGCGACCCCCCTACTAGATGAATGATGACCTGGTAAGATATGCAGGAAGTCGATGGATGCAGGTGACTCATGACCGTGCTTTTTTGGCGTTCCTTGGGGGAGGCCTATGTTCAGCAGTGGACTTGTGAAGGGCTGTAATGATGATGATGATGACCAGCGACCTGCCCCAGCTTCGCTTGCATGTGATCTGTAAGATATAGGAGTTTTTATAAGATACGATCTATTTCTTCCTGGCATTAATCTCTATCAGTTCGTAAAGCTTTATCACAATCCAATCAGTCAATCCTACAAAATAAAAAAATAAATGGTTATTAATGTTTTAACAGGATGCAAATGACCCCCGAGTTTAATAGAAGCCAGTTATTTCAATATTACGGTCAGATTTCTTTTTTATTTAATATATAAAGATTATTATCTATATATATACCATATGTATGTATATATTATTCTTATATGTAAAATTCTCGTGTCGCGGTGTTTGTTACCAAACTCCTCCGAAACGGCTGAACCGATTTGTATGAAATTTTGTGTGCATATCGGGTAGGTCTGAGAATCGGCCAACACCTATTTTTCAAACTCCTAAATGATAAGGGTGACCCACGCCTAAATATTTTTTTATGTTATTGACAAAAAAAATATTTTTATTTTATTACGATTTAGCATTAAAAAATACACAAAACGTCAAACTTTCACCCTTCCACGATCAACCCCTGTTTTTTAATTACGCAATTTTTAAAACTAAAACTGGTAAACTGGTAAAGAGCCACGCTGCAGCTATATTATGGTTGCAGCATGAATGGGTCGGATCGAGCGCGGTAGGAACACGCTCTCACAGAATACCAGCGTAAAATGTTAATTTAATGCTGCTGTGTCTCGTACTGTGAGTATAGAGAACTGGAGACCCTTATTATTGGAAATGAGGCATTCCATCTCAGTCCTTAGGGATGACAACGCATCTGCATTTTGATATTTAATTGAGAGTAAATGTAGATGTCTATGGGCCACAGCGTCCATCTGTGTGTTTGTTTGTTACCTTTCTTCTGTAAAAAAAATATACGAGATAATATAGCGACATCTGTAGTAGGCTACAAGTTCACGCCTTCCTAATGGGGTGATGGATTCTCTTAAGCTGCCGTCACACTGTAATTCTTTTAATCTATTAATATATCCGGGACACAATGCCAAAAGGGCAAAAGTACGTCTTACTCAATAGAATTGAAAATTCAATGCCATAAGTATTATTCATACAATTTCCATGATATAAGTTTTCGGGTCACCTACCAATAGTTTTGTACTAAGATATTTCGAATTTTTGTTTCTATCTTGCCGTGAAATTGCAGCATAAGAGAATCTATCACCTGATTTCGCCCCGTGGGTAACGTATGGGGGAACTACGGGTAATTCCACGAAAATCTTATGGTTTTTATAGATGTCAGTTCAATTAAATTTATTTGCTATTCTTGTTGTATACATTTGGTCTTAATTATAAAAAATAGTTCAAAACAAGAACCCTGCAAATATTGGCCATTATTAATATTTTTATTACATTTACATTATGGTATTATTAATAATAATAAAATTATCATTTAATGAATATTTACAACTAACTTTAATATGAACGCGATCATACTATATTATTTATTCCTATTTCTTACTCAATGACTAAAAAACTCCTGCAACGAGTAATAACATTTTTTCGCTAAATATGTATTAATTTCCTTTGAAATGTTTTATGCTTTTAATGCTTCTATATACGACACGATACATTTTATAATTTTATTATATATTTTTATTGATATTGCATAGGGGCCAGTGATTACGATTTGTAATTTTAGTGTAGCTGTGGATAATTTTATTTTTAGTCTTAAGTTTTTAGTGCGAAAATGTTGAGGGAATCAGTCGATATTATTTCTAACCAGTGAGCATATATAGGGATATCCACTTCGTTACGTTCGTTATAGCCATTTTGTTTACGCCAGAAATAAAATACCCAGACCCGTGACGGGGGACAGCGTGAAGATTGAGCCAAATCTTCCTTGCAATGGGAGAGATAAATTTCAATGTTACATGCTAGTGCTTGATCTTCATCTTTACATATAAATAAAATTATTGAAGTGTCCGTCTGTAATATCGAAATTATTGCCTTTTATTACTGAGGGAGGGGGTAATTTACATTCTGCATACCATTGAAACATGAATAACCATATTTAAATATTTTGCCTGTATGTCCGGGCTGAATTTTCGAAATGAATGAACCGATTGCAATGAAATGTATGCCAGTAGTGGTGTAGGATAGGATATATTTTATCCGAAAATCTTGGAGTGTTTTTTTTTTTGAGAAATCAAAAATTTATAGAATAAATGGTCTTTAATTGTTATCTTCAATATAAATTACGTCACATTAGCAGGTACCTAGGAGAAGCCTGGGCGTGTCGCTAGTAACTAATAACAATGGTTATTACAGCCTCTAAGTCCATAAGCCTCCTATAAAGAACTCCACAAAACACGCATCAAAAAGTAATTATACTACTTATTAGTCATTATTTTATCGTAATGTCAATAAGGGTATTAGGCCTATAAGCATCTATACAAGTTTTAAGCCGACGTCGTGAGCGCAGGTAAAAATTATACAACTTAGAACAACAATGGACGACAGAAATTTATACAAAAATTCTATTGTAAATTTGAAGATATTAATTGGTAATACTATAATTACGGGTATTATTATATTAGTGGTAAGTAAGTATAAAAGAAAGTGAAGCGTGATCGATTATTTTAGTTTCACTTCCGTTGTTCTGAACTTCGAAACACGAATTGATTTTTGTTCTATGGGTATTAGAATTTTTAACAATGAATTTTAACAAT